ATAATAATTACTATAAAATATTTTTTTTATATTATAAGATACTTATGCTAATAGTAGAGGTGTCAAAATGGGTAATAACTAATGAATTACCCAAACCAAACCAGTCCATGGTTTTAGTGGATTAACAATTTGGGTGTTAATGGATTAATGGTTTTTATGGTTTAATGGATTTAGTGAGTTCGATTAATATTAGTTTGGATCAAAATGGGTTTATGGATTATCCAATCCAACCCAATTTTTTCCACATAATGACATCTACTCTATTAAAATAGAGTCATTCTTTTTATCTACTGATACAAGTTGTCATTTAAATTTGGACCCTTTCTAAAGTGTTACAAATATGTAACACAAGCCATATAATTAATTAAACCGCATTACTTAAATTAAACGGATGGTTATTTATGGGATATAGTCTTGGGCTTACTTTTGTTTTTAGAACAAATTATATAGTTTTGTTTTTTGGCATAGTATTAAGGAAAAACTCCAAAAAACATTGAATAAACTTTCTACCTTAATAGATAAAAAATCAATTATTCTTTTTAGGCCCAAAAGGTATTTAATATTTTTAACAAAACAAAATTTTCTATTATTAGTCATTTATTTAAATCATGTACTTTAAAACATGTTAATGTATTTTTTATTTTAAATAACAATCACTTTATTTTGATAAATTTCAATGGTATTTTAAATAATTTATTGTTTTATTTTTCTTAAATAATTTACTGATTTAAAAAAAATGTAAAGCAAAACCAAAAACCAAATCTAAAAACAAAAATCAAAACCAAAAGCTGAAAACACAAGTTAATTTTTTTTTATTTTGTTTATTTAAAAAATAAACTATTGCAAAATTTTTTGTCATCTTTTCAGTTTTAAATTAGATGTTTGATTATTTAGGATTTGTTTGTTGGTAATATCATTTCAAACTAATTCAACTGGTCTAAAAATTAAAAACACAAACCAAAACTGAAAAGTAAAAGTAGAAACTTAAAAACTAAAAATGGATTAACCACTAACTCAATAATATAAATGGATTAGGGACTGAACCAAACCATTAGGTAAATGGTTTGGGTTGAACCATAACCAATAGAAGACTGGATTCATTTGGATATGGTTTGGTTTGGGTTGGTTTACCCATTTTGACACCTCTAACTAATAGATACTTTTATATAATTTGAAATAAGTATATTATTTTATTTTAAACCGTTATATAGACAAGGATTTAAAGTTTTTAGCTTGACCATAAAAGATTCACAAAGTATCTAAAAGTTCATTATGAATATTGTATCTGAAAATTATATATATATATATATATATATATATATATATATTTTCAACCTATATATAATGAGTTGATGAAAAAAAAGTATATTATGTCTTATTATATTGTATTCCTTGAAGTGAATGTGGATATATATGGTTATGGTTATGATCAAGACCAATTAGTTTCTTTTTAGAACTTATAATCTCTTTTGAAGATGAGAAATAAAGATGGTAATAAACAAGAGATATATCATCTAAAGATGAAAGAAAACTAATGTAAATATAATACGTGATGATATAAATATTATTGAAAGCTCTAGAAGAGCAAATTTGTGATTGCCTATGGGAACGCAACTTGAAATAATTATATGTTATAGTTTTCTAAGTCTCAAAAGTTTAAAAAGAATCTAAGATATAACACAACCTTAAGTCGGGTATGTTGTTGATTCTAAAGTGGGATTTAACTCTAGAACCTAGATGTTATCATCTCGAGGGAAAGAATTAGAGAATCCCACATCCCTAATAAGTGGAACCTCTAGAAATATGTTCACATTGGAAATAGACTTAAGAAGTCATTTATAATATAAACAAGGGATTAAAAATCTAATAATATTGAGACAATAAGTAAAAAGAAATGTTAAACAGCTTCAACCAGAAGTATTATCCAAGGCAGCATTGTATTGTACAACACAATGATTATAAATGGAGATAAATGTAATAGTAAACCAGACGTTTGCCGAAAGTGTAATGTTTGGCAAACCGGTTATGCCATCCTAGTTTAGTAAAGATGCTCATCATATGGACATTTGTTGAAGAACTATAAGATTCTTACGAATGATCTGTTATATGCTACTTGCTTACAAGGCAATATAAGAATATGATTTTCACCAGTTAAAAAGATTTTGAATCTATTTATACACATTATTTGCAAATTGATTTGCATATGTGTCAATACTGCATTCGTCTCACCAAACAAGATGATATGAGTTTTGAAAAATGTGACATTGCATCAACTATCACATATTGGCATGTAAAAAAATTACATTTTTGGTAAGGCTTTTTAAATGTAGTAATTATTTTATACCATCATTAAATAATTCTGTATAACTATTTATTTTTGAAATATATTAATAACTCATATATCAGAATTAAGATCATATAAATATCACAATGATAAAAATAAACTACATATAGTTATATTGTAAAAAAAGTATGCATAAGTTATATATCATAAAGCCTGATGATCACCATAGCCACAACCATATTCGCCACAACATCTCTTTCCTTCTGGCAAGGATAGATTCATGGAGGTTGGATCACGCTCTTCCTGAACGCAATGAAGCTGTCGTGGCTATTGCTTTAAGTGTCACTCGTGATCTGCGTCACCAATCGTACATCACCCGAAATATTCCGGTGTGGCTACATCACTTACTCGCGTTGGAGGCTCAGCAATAAAGGGATTTGGTGAGGTCCCTTCCACTGTTGTTTGGTGTCTAATGACATTTCATCTTATCTCATTTGCTTCTCTTTTTTGTATCATCTTGAACGTTCTGATCTAGAAGTGTTATAAGAAAACTTATATATCATTTGTATAAATATAGAGATATATTTTATTAAATAATAATTTTAAGTATGCATTACCAAATAAAAAAATAAAGCAATACTAACTAAATAAAAAGTGTATTGACAATTAAGTGTTATTTTATTATCATTTATTCGTTCATTAGGTTATCCAAAAAAATATTTTTTTGAATATCCACCGGCGGTTCAACTTTGGACTCTTAAAGATTCCATCGAACCCAGTTACTTTCCGTTCTCAGTCACTTTTCGCAAACAGAGAGTACCTATACTAGAGGGTTTGTTTTTGTATATATGGATGATCATAATTTGGTTAGGTCTTATGGTACATTTGGAAAGGTGGAAACAATAAGGTTTTTAACAATATAGATATTGATCCAAAAGATACTCTTAGATTGACAGATACCGAATCATTGTTGTGGGCGGAGGCACAAATTTCAATCACTCAGAGGGTCACCCATTCTAGGGAGCTCCAGGTGACAAGTTTACCATACATACCGGGAAGATGGTGTTTTACGGAAGGGTTCTGAAAAGAAAAGATAATCACTCGGACAAGACTAGTATAGCACCTTTGAAGGTTTTGATGAACTAATGTGGGCACAAAATACAAAGGCTAATCTCTAACCACTTCATTTGGAGGTAAAAGCACTCATCTGGAAAATGGAATGCATGAGTGTTTACGAAAATATTACGTCATGTTTGCAAGGAATTATTCCAAGTTCGTGAAGATGATTTCAGAACAAGAAGAAAAACATGATTTTGCAAGTTATTTGGAATATACTAAGATACTGAAGAGATTTTTTAAGCACTCAGAGCTCATTTATGTACTCCGGAGACATAATACAAAGACGGATAGACTTGTGAGCAGTGTCAAAAATAAACTTTTGTTTGTCATCCATGTGAATGAGGAATTGCTACATTGGTTTGCATTGTTTTAGTTGAGTCTATTTCGGTTGATGTCAACATTGAAAAAAGAAATAGGTAATAAAATAATTATTAAATATTATGTAATATAATTACAGTTTTTTAATAAAATGTTATTTTTAATTCTATTGAAACTTAAATAAAATAAAATTGAAATATTTACAACAAATAAAAACAAACAAGTTGCGAAAATATATTTATGTTTTTATCGTTTTCCAAAGCGAAGACGCTAAAATATAAAAATAATAATGTCAAATATAAATATATATATATATATATATATATATATTTTAAAAAGGTAAAATAACATTTAAAATTACTCTTTCTACCCACAGCGCAACAAGCACAAATAATTATTGGAAGACAATACATATTTATTCAACACAAAAGAGTGCAGCCAAATATTTTATTAACATACTCAATACAAAATTAGTCGTATTTTCTTTTTTCTTTTTCTGAAACGTTTTAAATTTAGCAATTTCGAAAAATCTATAAAGAAAATAGACTTATAAAAATCAGGAATTTATTGAATAAAAAGTTGTAAAACTTGAAGATGGTAAGAGTATAGTTATATAAATTATATACTTTTATATGCATATCAGATCAGATCAGATATCCATCTTTTAAAACTTTGATAAGAAAGTCACCTTCCTGGTCAATTCAGTCTAAAGTGTTAATAGACATTTTTAGATTACTACCATGATCATCTCATTTGGGATTAAATCTATAATAATAAAGTAGGCATATCTGTCCACACAAGCCTCCACGTCTCTTTTATGATAGGGGGTTTGTCGCCACGTGTCGTTCTATAAGTGGCTCTTTTTTTTTAAAACCAAACTTTCGGGAAAACTGCTGGGCTGGTCAACAAAATATGGCCCAATTCAAAAGATTACTGCAGGCCCGTCAACAAAAATTATTTGCTTCTTCCCCGACTTTCCTCCTTCCCATCGCCGCGGTTGTTCTGTGCAAGCAGAGAGCCATAAAGCTTGATTCATAACCGTAAAACCTCTCCTAGCCTTTAGTTTTTCATTTCTTTTCTTCAGTGATTCACGCCTCTGTCTTTAAGATTACTGCGTAACTCTTCACGTTCTAACAAACCGCTTAGCGCTTCCCTATAAATATCGCTCCCTGTGAGGATGAATAGTACAACGCAATAGACATCTATAAACTCTGAAAATCGACAAGAAGCTACATATGGCGAATTCCTACACATTACTTGCTGACTTGAAGGCTGGGAGATGCTCCAATTCGGCGGAGATCCGGCTCCTGCGTTTCTGGGAAGCGAGGAATCTGAACAAAAAAAAAAACAGCTAATGAGCGTGGAGATGTTGTTGATCGATGAAGATGTAAGTTATTTTTAAATCTTATACATTCATAATTTCCTTTGCATCGATTTAATTTAGTGGATAAAACTGGTTGACATGATCCTGTTTCTTGGGTTTAGTATTGAAATAATCACAAGCGCAATTTGGTTTGGATTGTTTTTTCTTTTCTAATGCTTTATATTGTTTCATATGAACAGTCCACGCTGGTGCAAGGATCTGTTCCTGCTTCCCTGCAGCAAACTTTTTGGTCCCGTTTATCTGAAGGGTCGGTGTACCGGTTGAGTGGTTTCGATGTTACACGAAGGAGTCCCAAATACAGGCTCACCGACGGTCCCATCGCCATTCGTTTCAACGCGAATACTGGTTTCCAGAAACTACTGAACACTTTGAGAATAATTCCGACAGAGTATTTCCGATTCCAACCATTTGCGCAGATCCGTAACCTAGCAAATAGTGGGAAACAGCTGCCGGGTAAGTAGTGTCACTATTATTCAAACGGCTTGGTTTGTGGTTTCCTTATAAAACAATTAATTTGGGCGCTCTATTATTTGGTAGATGTTATGGGTGAGCTTCGTGCGCTGCAGAGCACCATAACGGATCGTCTTCCAGGGGCACCTCGGGTTATGCTAACCATAAGAATGACAACGTAAGAAGCCTTTACTTTTATCCAATTTTAAAAAAGGTTTGTTAAAGTAACTCTGTGTTTTGGCTGTGTTCCGACCTTTTTTTGAAGTGATGATGAAGTCTGTGTGAGTATGTTTGATGGGTTAGCACTTGCATTCCATGACAAGTTTGAAGCTTACGGAAAGGAGCCCAAGATTGTCCTAATAACGAGCATTAATTCAAAGATAGCTTCAGGTAGATTATTATTTCCTGCAGCTTTTTTTTTCATTCGAGTTTGTATGGCCACTTCACCTTTATAACACGTTGACGTCTTCCGCAGGTAGATTATATCTCAATGGCACTTCTGCTACACGTGTTCTTTTTTTACTGTGAAACGACTGTTGGGAAAGAAGCGTACAACCGGCAAGTTTTTCTGATTTCCACTATTATGAGACGTCCATGTCTACCAATTTGTTTTCAAAATTTTGAATTTTCTCACGATCACTTGAAAGGTGTACTTCACAACCTCAAACGGTTAACTGTGTTGCCTCTTAATTTCAATACAGTTTTCCTGGGGGTGGTGCGGACCAGGAAGGGTCCTCATCAAAGGTGGTACATTCACAGAAGATCGAGCCTCTCAGCATTAAAGAGCTTAACGACTTTGTCTTAACCGGTGATCCCCAGGTATAAATCCAAATTATAAGGCTTCCGTCCCACACTGACATTCTGGAAACTAAAATTTAATGATATGCCTGTCAGGTTATTGAGTTTATTTGTACTGCCAACATAACTGGTGTTCAGCTTGATGATGGATGGTGTTTCATTGGCTGCTCTATTTGTTCCAAAAAACTTCTCAAGGAGGAAACATCATTCACATGCGTCTCATGTAATCTACCCAATGCTGTAGCTGAACTCAGGTTTGTAGTGCAAATTGCCAGTTTGTTATAAACAGATAAATAAACTAACAGAACTTAATGTGGAACAGGTATCGAGTGGTCTTTTCTGTGTCCGACATCACAGGCACCGCAGCCTTTGTTGGCTTTGACAATGAGGTTTCCAAACTGACTAATGTACTGGCATCAGAGGCCGCCAAAATTGTGGTATATCTTACATGTTCCTCAAATACCTGGCTATACTTTTCGTTTGGTTATAGATTGCAGAACCTTAACTGAAACTTGCTTCAGGGAATTGGTGCTAATGCTGAGGTGGACACTGATATGCCTAGGTCTCTTGCAGCTGTTGTCAATAAAGCCTACACTTTCCAGCTTAAGTTAACCGCTATCAACTTGACTCCAAATCACCAAACCTTTACCATTTCTCGGATGTTTCCAGCACGCGAGCTAGCACCAAAGCCAACGTTTGCTGTGCGCGTTTATTCTTTTCATTTTGTTTTTATGTTATGGGTTTTGATTTATCTGATGGTATGTGTTGAAAATTTCCAAGAAAGGAAGGTGGAGGGGATGCAGCAACAGCGTACACTGAGACTTTACGATTAGGTTGCGGCTCAACAGGTATCAGGCCTGGCGAATCCATCACAACTGAAAATCCTCTGGAGGTGCTTGACCCTGCTGTGAAGGAAGCCTTTGAACCAGAGGGAAATGCACCCAAAAAACCACGAGTGGAATGAGTGTTAAGACATTCCCGACCAACCACTTCTTCTCTAGGAGCTCATGTTTGATTTTGTTGAACTCCCGCGTTTAAGTTTGTTATTTTTGTTTCCAGTCTTTTTTTTTGTACCCCAGAATCTTGGTCCAGTGGTTGGTCGTCTTCAAACTATAAGAAAGTTTTCTACCCTTATCTAAATTCCGTTCATGGCATCGTCAGACCTACTTACAAAAAAAAAATTGGTTTGGTTTTGTAGGTGCTACTAAACTAACTTCAACTCAACTATGAGAATGAGACAAGCCGACAAGAAATTTTCTGAATGGATTCTAAGCGTTGGAAATGGTATGGCACAAACCGTGGAGCAACCAGGGATAACACATGAGGATGGGGAGAAAGTTGTAATAGGCGATGAATTCATGATACCAAGATCTGCTACTCCATACCAGTCAGTGTCAGAAGCTTCGTACCCTGATTTTGTAAGAAATCACTTGAACTGCACATACTTAACAGAACGAGCTCTCTTGGCTCCAACAAATGCCACTGCACAAGAAATAAACTCATACCTTCTGTCTAAAGTCCCGTCTGCAGAAAAGGAATTCCTGAGCTCAGACAGTGTAGCTTTTGAGAGCACACCAGAAAATGACTAGACCACTAACTACACAGAGGAGTACTTAAACTCCCTGGAGTTTCCAGGTTTACCTCCCCATAAAATGTGTCTGAAGGTCGGTTCTCCAGTAATGATGCTTTGGAATTTAAGCCAGAAAAATAGGTTGTGCAATGGCACACAGATGATGATTTCGTGCCTCGGCCACAGAGTGTTGCAGGCTGAGATTCTGACAGGAACACATGTCGGTGATAGTGTATTGATTCCAAGGATACAACTAACCCCAAACGACACTATCCATCCTTTCACATTTCGCAGGAGACAGTACCCATTAAAACTGTGTTACGTGATGACTATAAACAAGAGTCAGGGTCAGAGCCTAAAGCAGGTGGCTCTGTATCTCCCAAGACCAGTTTTCAGCCACGGTCAACTATATGTTGCTCTATCGCGCGTCACATCACCAGAAGGTCTCAAAATATTGGACGATACAGAAGGTTCAACAAGAACTGATGTGGTCACCAATATTGTTTATAAAGAAATTTTTAGTGGTCTCAGAACACGTAAGTATTAAAGTGCACACTCTAATAATACAATTCTGATACAAATGTCGAATAAAGTCATCCCTGAATCGAATATCTTCATTTCAGGTGCACCTGCAAATCACTTACCAGTAGTCGATGCTCCAGAGAGTTGCAGCCATATCAGCAATCCTTTGTAATGACAGTAGAGGTGATCTTGTGTTGGTGACTTATTTTCCCCTGATATCAGCAATGTCACATAAAGCTAATTTTAAAATTTGTTCTCAAATTGGCTTTGCTCACTTCGGGTTCGTACACAAATCGGCTATGCTGGATGACCACTGTTCTTACAAAGGTGTTGCCAGTCTGGTAGTTGATGCTTTCTTAGAACACAATATTTTCCCTTTGCAATCTACACTTTCTTTACGTGTACAACGTCAAACATTTTGAAATGTTTAAGAACAAATTTTTCATAAATTAGGATTAATATATATTAAATCACGTTTGCTCCTTGACATCCACGCAAGCGAGCAATATTGTTTTATGTATTCTCTCTTCCCTAAAGAATACGTGTTAGTATGGAAAATTTAATTAATGTGGAGGAGGCGAGAGTCATCTGATACACTAATGCTCAAAACATTACTCCAAAGTAGCTACACATCTTTTAAAACGCTTACTAAAAAACCTTTACAACAACAACGCTCCATGAAACATCACCCATAATGCTTTCCTTTAGAAGTTTACGTCAAGCCATAATATACATTATCCTCAAAACCAGAAAATACAATACTACTTTAAACAAGAGACAAAAAAAAATAAAACAGATAAACAAGCGAGAAAAAGTTCAATACCAACATTTAAAATAAATAATATAAAAAAACATATGGAATATAAATATTCGGCGCGTAGCGCCGGCACACCCCCTAGTTTCTACAAAAAGATAGAGTTTTCATATGAAAGATATTTAGTGATACATACTCAAAATAGATGTGTTCTTATTTTGGATCCCAAATGATGTATCATTTTTCTAGTTTTGGTTATGTAATTCCCATTGGTTACAACTCGTACATGAATTAATAAGATAACTCATCGTTAGAAAATAAGAGTTGTTTTAGAAATATCTTTGTAGAAACAAAATAGATATGATTAAGGCATTCAAATTGAAGTAATTGGTTTTTAATACCATTTATTTTAGAACTAATAAAATAAATAAAAATCTTCATCAACCAATAAGAATATTTAAAATTAAGATTTTACTTATGAATTACATTTAAGTAAAAGTTACTTCAATATGACTTCTGAGAGGTGTGGTATAATTATATATGATTTATAAATATATATAGTTATAAAATTATAAATAGATTTATAATAAAAGAATTTATAATAACCTATATGGCTTATAAATACATTTATAAACATTATATAACGTATTGTAAATAATTTTCAATTTGATACATACATTTCTAAGCCAAAATAAAGAAAAATAATATTTTTTTAATTATTTATAAATTATTTTAATATATTTCCAAATGATATATAAATTATTTGTGTGCTTTACAAAATATTAATAGTTCTAATAATTTCGTATACACGAAAAGATTATTTTATATATTGAATTATTTTATTTAGTTTATAAATTAATAATTTCTAAGAAAATAAACTGATGAAAAATTAATTATTCTTTCTAAAATTTCTGGAATTAGTTATCATAAATTATTATTTGTAATATTATTTAGATTGCTTGGTAACATGTATTAATTCGTTAAATTAACTTTAATTTTATATCAGATTAAAATAAATATAAATAAAAGTTATTAAACCAGTTAAATTATAATAATATACAAAAAAAATCACTTATGATCAGCACATAAACAAAACTCATTTAACTGACTTCTATATGGTTGACAAAAAAAATTACTTCATTTTTCATAGGGTTAATTTGTGTAGTAGCCAATTTTGAGAATAAAATTAAGAATATGGTATTGATGTTGACATAATTAGATCACATAACTTTTTTCTCTCTTTCTTCTGGTTCTCTCCTTTTCTTAAGCAGGTTGACGGTGATACTTTTTCACTTAAATGAAAAATTTTATTATTAAAGTGGTGGTGATTATAGCATCCACGATGATATTGATAATATAATATAAATAGAACATAATCACTATTAAATGGTATAGTTCATGTTAATAAAATTATAAAATAGTTTAATAAATATCCAAATCTTTCATAAACTAAATTTAAAATAGTAATCACTATACCCTAAAAGAAAATATAGAGTCTAATTCAAATATCAAAATATGCAAATAGTATACAATATAAAATAGTATTAAAATAGAATTGTAATAAATAAATAGTATAGTACAAATAGATAAAATTTGTAAATGTATATGATTACAGAAAATAAGATAATATTTATTCCATTATCAACCTAAACCTTCCATAAACTAAACTCAAAACACTAACTAAATCCTAAAAGAAAATATAAACCCTAACCCAAATATAAAACATGCACACAATACATAATATGAAGTATTATCAAAATAAAATAGTAATAAATGAAATAGCATAGTACATATTGTTCAAATTTTAAAAACTAAGTCCAAAATAGAAACATAAACACAAACCTTCAATAAACTAAACCCAAAATAGAAATATAAAACACTAATCACTAAACCTTAAAAGAATAATTTTTACTTATTACTTATTAGACATTATAAGTTAGAATAATTTTTACTAGCCTTTTCTCCAATATTTATAAATTTGTTAAAGTTAAATATATAATTAATAATTTAAGTGAATTTCTAATTTAAATTAAATTTAAAGTTAAAACCCTAATTAAAAATTAGCTACAAAACAATGTGCTATTATTATCAGAAGAGAGCTTCAAAATTGATTACTTTAACACACTCATAGATCAATATTTAGTTTCTGTTGAGTCCAGATTTAAACAATTCCAAAGATATGAACAAAATTGGATTTTTATTTCATTTAAAACTAACATGGCAAGTGAAGATATTTATTTCATTTGTCTACACTTGCATCTGTTATTTTTTTAAATCAAATAAAAATCCAAAAAAAATTCATACCTTTGGAATTGTTTAAATCCCTCTCTCTAAAAGGCGACTCAAGCACCGGTGCTTGGCTCTAGTCGGATGCTCCCTTCCTCGTCTCCCTCATTTTGTCTTTACCCTTCTTCTTCTCTCTCCCGTCGTTAATATGGTTGGTGTTCTGGTGGCTTGTCTTCGCGGCTGAACTCTAGATCTGCTCCGGGGAGAGCTAGATCCGGCAGGCTGAAGCTTCTGTCTAGAACATCACCGAGGCGTCGCTGGTTTGGGAGGTGACGAGTCGGCTTTTTGGTTATGACCCGGCGGATCTCATTTTCTCTTTTGTAGATCTGCTTAAAGTCATTTGTAGTTGTGGCGCGTAGGTTAGCGACAGGCTCTCTCCCATGTTCTTCAAGGTGTACGTAGCGATAGTGGTCGGTTCATAGCGGCGGTGGTGGTTTAGTGAGTGGTACGGTTGGCTTCCTTGGATCTGGGACTTGGTATCCTTTTTTTGGTGATGGGGGTTTTGCTACGGTTCATCAGAGGCAACAATGTGTGTTGTCGTTGCGTGACCAGTCTTTCTCGGTGGCCGTGTGTCCGCAAGACGTTTAGGGTCTAAGCGTGAGTATCTTAAGTGGTGTGGGGTGCTTCATCGTCTATGGCGGACTATCTATCTCCTCAGCGGCTATCCTCTGGTTGTCTATCGCCCTAGCGTATCTGGATTGTGTCCAAGTTTGGCTCATTTCACGTGTGGTGCGGATGTTTCTTCTCCACTTTTTCAGGTCTTCATGTCTCTCCAACGAGATGTAGCCCTGAAGCGCATCAAAGGCTGTGTGAGGTTTTCTTACTCGGGTCA